TAGCCTAACCCTAAATTATTCTGCCTTGAGTACGCCATCAAACTCACAAGTTTGAAATACAACAAACCAAAATAATTGAAGCAAAATGGTAAATGTTTTCCTTTATCTTTTATGAGAATAAAACTAGGATAATCTATTTCCTCATTGTGAAAGAAGTGGATTCTTCCTCCCTTTATTAGGCTATATCTTGTGTTGGAATTGGGATGCAAGCCTAAAGGAGGAGGCGGCAGAGGAGGGCGACACCATGGGTGGGGGTTGGGGGAGAATTGAATAGAATTGCTATAGTTTTTTGACAAGACTTAGAAAATACAGCTGAAATATAATAAGTGAAAAACAAAAAACAAACAGACAAAGAAACACACGAGATTATTTATAGTGGTTCGGATTAAAATCCTACGTTCATTCTTCCTTCTTGTGAATGGTCTTACTCACTATGGCTAGAGTTCACTTGAATCATAACTCGATTCAGTAGGCTTCAAAGACTATACATGGGAATCTACATAAAAGCAGTCATATAGCGTAATTCTTGACAATGACCGGAAGAAACTTAACCTATCTAGCCAAGCCCTCAATTACACCGGCTTAGTATGCCGTCAAACTCACGAGTTTGAAATACAATCAACCAAAATAGTTAAAGCGTAAAAAGAACAATCTTATAGTCCTTTATCAAAGCATTCTTCAAATCGATAAAGATAAAGATCCGTGAAGAAGCGGTGTAGCAATGTAAGCGTAAGGTCTTGCTAAATCAAACTCCGATAAAAAGTGCGTCAAGAAGAAGCTGAATGAGGCTCAAGGGATTTGATCAACTCTCTCTCTCTCTTTCAAACCCTTAAATAAAGATATCTCCTTTTGTGTATTTGCCTCCTTGAACTTTGTTATCAATTATGATCTTTAACTCCCCTTAAATAGACATTGATAGGAAAGGAATGAGATACCCAAAGTTGAGTGCAAATAGGCGATCAAACGTGTCAACGAACGGTTGAGATTAAATCATAAAAACTACCAAATTTCGTCATAATGATCAATGGTGAATCATGACTATCGATGGTCCCTTAATGATCATTAATGGTTCAATTGTAGCCATCGATGAAGCTTATTCTGGTTTCTAAACTAGCCATCGATGAAGTCGATTTTGGTTTCTAAATTTATTCGATTGTCTTTTGTAACCATCGATGGTTCCCTATGACCATCAATGGGTCACCGTAGACCATTCATGGTGCAAATTCATGTTTTTATTTTTCTCCAATCAACTCTTGTAACCTGATGATATGTTGTTGATCATCGATGGTTGCCTCTTGATCATTTACGGTTCGAAGACTAAAATCAACGTTCGTGTTGATTTTTGCATCATTTCGAACCACATCTTGCTCGTACCTGTTTATACCTGAAGTGTGTCATCTCACAAAACATATCAGCAGTAAATGAGAGTTTGTTATTATTCGAACAAGAGATATTGTATGAAAAATGTTCTAACAATCCCGTGCGAACAACGTTCTAACAATTTTTCCCTTTTGATAATCAAAACTCAAAATTTAAAATACAAAAGTTAATATATGGTGAGATATATATTTAGTATAAAAAAAAGCACATAACATGTTTCATGCTAAAGATATATGATATGCAAAACTCCCCCTACAAATGTGCATACATGAAAGTATTAAATGTGTACAACTTTTCTAAGGACGCCCCCCAAAACAAAGCATCGAGTGTTCAAAAATCTTTAAAACCAAAGATCAATCATGAAATCAATTTGAAAAGTTTTATAAAACACAAACAGTCATGAAATATTTTAAAATTTTACCTTTTCCCCTAATTTTGTTATTAGCAAAAGAAAAAAACACATCGAGGATATGTAATATTCTTAATAATTCAAATAAAAATTATTCAAAAGTGAAAGGAAGAGAAACACATACTGGTTCACAAAAAACTTTGTAGAAAATAGCACAAGACGTACACATGTAACTTCAAAATACAAGAATCACGATTATAAGTTATATTAAAATTCACACATAAACTATGAAGATATCGATAAATAGTTTGTAAAATCAAGAATAAAAGTAATTACATTAGCTCATAAAATAAATTCGGATATATCTTATCTAGTTTGAACCCTTTTTTATACACAACTTGAATTATCTTAATCTTTTAAAAAGGCCTAAAATCTCGATCTATCACCTCAAACATTAAGGAAAATTTAAGAGGAAGAACGATAGTATTTGGAGAACGATATACACCATCTCTAAATATAGAAAATATTTAGTATAGGATGGATATCCTTGAGATATTACACATTTATATCCACGAGTGATGGTCTTTGACCTTCTTTTAACAAATACACTAATGTGTTGTGGAAATAGTATTGAGATTACAAGTACACAATCAAGTTATAATATAGTACAATGTTGATCCTACAAGGAAGTTCTATAGGAAATATTCTAAGTTGGATCTTAAGAGTTGTGTGTAGACAAAAAGGAGTGGGAATTAAGAGATATAAAGAGTGTGTGATTTTTTGCACGTGAAAGAAAACTAGAAAATAGGAGAGAAATAGATAATAAAGGCAAATGAGAACAAACAAATGGGGAAAATAAAGAAAATAGAAAAGAATAAAATCAAAAGGAGAAAAAAAACAATCAAAAAGAGCAAAACTAAAGCAAGTAAGATGGAAAAAAATCAAGTAGATACAATAAGAATCTAGAATTAAATCTATTAGTTATTTCATTTAGAATTTATAAACTATTCTCTTTTTATCATATTTTATTTTAGATTTATTAAACATAAACTATCAAACTACTTTAAAAAACATAATTTATTAAATTATCATCCAAGTAAAATCAATATTCATGAGAAAAATAATAACTATGTAGTAATTCTAGAATTCATAAATATAATCTATCAACCCACTCAAG